AAGCACATGTCCAAGTCAAAATGTACAAAACATTACAAAACACACCAGGTTCGGAACACTTTTGGAAGTTGAGATGTTGGGGCGGTTGTGGCGCGAAGCACATTTCGAAGGCAAAATGTACAAAACACGCCATTCTCAGATCACTTTTGGAAGTTGAGGTGTTGAAAAAGCGCACGCCGTTTTGGCGCGAAGCACATTTCGAAGGCAAAATGTACAAAACACACCATTCTCGGAGCACTTTTGGACGTTCAGATGCCGTTTCGCGTGGCAGGCGCAAGGGATTCTGCACCTCGCCAAAGGTGAGCAAAACGTGAGGGTTTTCTAGCAGTTTCAAAAGCGTTGGCAAGCGCAGGACATTTGAAGAGGACAAGAGACACATGAGTCAGACGTGTTACGAGGTCCGGGCGCTGATTTCCTGAGAAGGGTTGCATTTTGGAGCATCAAATCATCAAATCTTCAGGTTTGCTAAGATGGTTTTGCGTGACACGTGCAGCACTTCGTATGACCTGGCTTCACTTTTTCGCGGCAGGCGTGCAAAACGAATTGGCACGAGGCCGTCAGCTCTGCACTCAACTTTCGATTCTTGAAGGAAGTCTCGCAGAATTGCTTCGTTTTTGATGTTGTCAAGTTCAAAATTGAGGAAGTCTTGCAGAATAGCTTCGTGTTCAAGCTTGCAGATAGGCAGATAGGCAGATAAGCAGATAGGCAGATAGATAGACAGACAGACAGACAGACTTACTACTACTACTACTACTACTACTAGTACTACTACTACAACTACTACTACTGCTACTACTACTACTTCTTCTACTACTACTACTGCTACTCCTACTCCTACTACTACTACTACTACAACTACTATTACTACTACTACTACTACCACTACCACCACGACTACTACTACTACTGCTGCTGCTGCTGCTACTGCTACTGCTACTGCTACTGCTACTGCCACTGCCACTGCTACTGCTACGGCCACTGCCACTGCCACTGCCACTACCACTACCACTGCCACTGCCACTACCAGTACCACTAACACTACCACTGCCACTACCACTACCGCTACCGCTAACGCTACCGCTACGGCTACCGTACTACTACTATAACTACAACTACTACTACTACTACTACTACTACTACTTCTACTACTACTTCTACTACTACTACTACTACTACTACTACAGCTACAACTCCAACTACAACTACGCTACACTAATTACACTACACTACAATACAACAGTACACTACAGTACACGACGCTACACAACAACTACGACTACACCACACTGCACAACGCTACACTACACTACATACACTACACTACAACTCCACTACACTACGCTACAACTACAACTACAATTGCACTACACCACACTACATCCAGCAGTTGTGGGCGAGGTGACCATTGCAACCATCCCAACCACTCCAAAAAACACACACTCCAACCACCTTTCCGTTCATGAGTGGATTCGCTCTGCCATTCATGATTCACAACAGCCAACCTCTCCTATAGGTTTCCTATCTTTGAAACTTCCGCCACCGCCTTGTGCGGTACTACTGGTATATCGGTAAATATATACATATGCTTGTGGACAAAATCTACTTTTGGTCCCACCATAAAGCAGCTGAACAATGTTGAACATTCTCCACCTGTCACTTCCAGAACGGTGAACAATGCTGGCCCCATTGACACAGCCTTTTCTTCTCAGCGGCGACTCTGGAAATTGAATATCACATCTGATGATTTCTCTGAGAGGTTTCTGCCCGGGGCAGCCAATTGCCATATGGAAAGTTGAAAACGAAAAGCTTTTCAAACCAAGACATCTGTTTCAAAGTACTTCGTGTGAATGTAGCTATGCTAGCAGCTGCAACTCTGTGAGCAGCGGAAGCGAAGGCCCAGAGGCTTACTTCTCTTTGGCCTTGGGTGCAAAAGCACTGGCCCCCCAACCCCGATTTTAGCTGGTGCCACTGCGATACTCCCAGGCTTAGAGACCGGTGTCGTTTGGCCTTCCGCAATGAAAGGCACACTCTTGAAATTGCCGGAATGTGAATAAGAAATTAGCAGTTAAGTAGCAGTCACTCGCACCTCCAAACATTGGAAACTTTGGCTACTCTGCCAAAAAAGCCGTACCTTCAGAATTCTTCAGATGGAGGCGATGGAAAAATCTTGGGCTGCACCATCTCATTAAATATGGGAACAGTGTCAGCAACCGAAAGCCGAGTTTTCAGGTGGGCTTCAAGCTGAGTGCTGAATCTAGTCAAGGAACTTCGCGAACCTTTCTCTCCCAAGCATTCCTCACGTCACGTGGTTGCGGCTTATGTTTTCAAGATTATGATCAGTTAATGCCTGAGGCCTCCGGTTGCACGTTCATGGCAGGCAACAGCCGCTTTCAAGAAACAGGAGTCATCTACTTCTGCCATCTCTGATGCACAACGAAGTACTACCTTACTGCAACTTTCTGTGTCAGTCGGAGCAAAGTGTATCGTTTGGCGTCAGGCAGCTATCCCGAGCCTGTCACCTGACAGTGATTTAACCGAAGCAACCAGACGTTTTATTCGGCTCTGTTCTGCTGATCACCTTTGCCAAAAAGTCTGGCTCTGGCAATGCCGAGAACAAAAACAATGGGCTCATGCCGAAGATGTGGCTCCTCGTGCCTGCTGTGGTCAGGATCAAACAGCCCACATGCTTCAAGCATGGTAAAAGCGTTTGCCTATCCCGAAACCTCTGAAGGCAGCTGGTGTCCGACGTCACTCTTGTACTCCCAACGGAGAAATACCACTAACCCCGCCAAGTCTATGTTGCCAGAGACCCTGGCTGCTGCGAGGTTGTGAGTGGTGCAAGTTGTCCGAGTCGTGGCAAATGCTCAAGTGGCCCTTCTGTCCATCAGAAACCAGCTATCTGGAGACTGCGGGTTGACATTTCTTTCCTCCATCTAGGCACGCGACAACTGCTTTTTCCCCTTGGCTGTTGTGTGGGTTTGGGACTGTGGTGACAGTGTGTTGTCAACTTTGAAGCTGAAGGCCAGTCGTCCTTGAAGCCACTTCTGAAATCTCTGAAGTCACACAGCATTGCTACCAATACCTCGAGATACCTCGAGAGCTACGAATGAAAAGGCACAATCCAAAGTGGCAAGGTGGAACCCGGGGATTCGCACCAGGAAACTTTGACAAACCTCGGCAACGGCTGTGTTCGCAAATGGTCTGGTTTTGTGCAATCTACGTTGTGAAACGTTGTAAATTCGCATGACTCAACGCCCTTACCACACAGAACGCTGCCCGAAAAGTCTGCCAAAAAGGGATCAAAGAGCCTCAAAACGCCTACGGTGTAAGATGTGACGACAGGCGCTGCCATTGGCCATCTGAAAGCAGCTGAGTGTTTGATAATTTTGATATCAGACTCTTCAGCCGTTCCACCGGTGCCCGCCAGGCTCAATGAGGTGAGCCACCTGCACCCCCTGGAGCTGCTTCGGCATCCGCTCCTGTGATTTAAGGGACCGAAGCTGGAACGAGATGCTGATGACCCCAAGTTTATGCTGCTCAGTTTCCAGACCCGCCAACAGCCATCAGGAGTGAGTGCAGGTGATGCGTGCCCCTCAGTGACTGAGTGGTGCAGTCCTTGTGACCCGACAGGAACAGCCACAACAACAGCTGTTGAAAGCTTGTTTGCACCCAGGGCCTAGAAACCATCTGGCACCAAGAGATTAATCCCCGTGTGTGGTGCCTACGGGGGGTTGTACCCAAATTTATCCCGGATAAATTTCTTGGGGCCAAGCTTTTTTCGGAATAAATTTCCATTCCCAAAAAAGGGCACAACCCCCAGGTGTACATGGTACACAAAAAATATCCAGAATCAATTTTGGGACCATGGGGGCAAACATCTCTGGATAAAGTTCCAGTGGCCAAGGTCCTGCTTATCCCTTTGCAAGTCTCCAACAAACTCCGCTCCGAGAAACTCCACACTTTTCTTTGGTTGCAACCCCAGTGTCGCTGAATATTTTTCCATGGGACAACCCCCCTGAACTTTGAAAATACCAAAGTTGGGGCTGAATAAATTTCCTAGAGGGATAATATTTTTGCGCACAGGGTCAGGAAAAAAAAATCTGCCAGCACGAACCCGGTTGAGATTATAGTAGGCGCAGATGACACGGGACTTTGCGGCCGATTTAGCCGAGGTTTTTTTGCACATGACATGGGATTTATGTATCGATTTTGCTATGTTTTTTTGTAACACATGACATGGGAGTCTTGCGCCGACCTAAGGGGCAGGTATTTTTCAATTTTTTTGACAGATGACATGTTAATAAGTTCTAAAATTTACACATGACATAGGACTTCCAGGAAAACACATTAAACAACGGCAGAGGTCCCATGTCATGTGATTTTTTTTCGGAGGCACTTTACAGATGACACGGGACTTATGCATTTTTCTGATCTTTCACTTTGCAGATGACATAGGAAATTGCGTTTTCTTTTGGTATGTCCGACAACTCCCATGTCATCTGCGGGTTCTAGTAGGCGCAAATGACACGGGACTTTGCGGCCGATTTAGCCGATGTTTTTTGGCACATGACATGGGATTTATGTATCGATTTTGCTATGTCTTTTTAAACACGTGACATGGGAGTTTGCGTTTTTTGGGTATGTCCGACAACTCCCATGTCATCTGCGGGTTCTATATCTTTTTGACATTCCTCCACCCGGTGAATGAAAAGGCACAATTCAAAGTGGCAAGGTGGAACCCGGGGATTCGCACCAGGAAACTTTGACAAACCTCGACAACGGCTGCGTTCGCAAATGGTCTGGTTTTGCGCAATCTACGTTGTGAAACGTTGTAAATTCGCATGACTCAACGCCCTTACCACACAGAACGCTTCCCGAAAAGTCTGCCAAAAAGGGATCAAAAGAGCCTCAAAACGCCTAGGGTGTAAGATGTGACGACAGGCGCTGCCATTGGCCATCTGAAAGCAGCTGAGTGTTTGATAATTTTGATATCAGACTCTTCAGCCGTTCCACCGGTGCCCGCCAGGCTCAATCAGGTGAGCCACCTGCACCCCCTGGAGCTGCTTCGGCATCCGCTCCTGTGATTTAAGGGACCAAAGTTGGAACGAGATGCTGATGACCCCAAGTTTAGGCTGCTCAGTTTCCAGACCCGCCAACAGCCATCAGGAGTGAGTGCAGGTGATGCGTGCCCCTCAGTGACTGAGTGGTGCAGTCCTTGTGACCCGACAGGAACAGCCACAACAACAGCTGTTGAAAGCTTGTTTGCACCCAGGGCCTAGAAACCATCTGGCACCAAGAGTTTATAGTAGGCGCAGATGACACGGGACTTTGTGGCCGATTTAGCCGAGGTTTTTTGGCACATGACATGGGATTTATGCATCGATTTTGCTATGTTTTTTTAAACACATGACATGGGAGTTTTGCGCCGACCTAACGGGCAGGTATTTTTTTTTGACAGATGACATGTGAATAAGTTCTAAAATTTACACATGACATAGGACTTCCAGGAAAACACATCAAACAATTGCAGAGGTCCCATGTCATGTGATTTTTTTTCCGATGCACTTTACAGATGACACGGGACTTATGCATTTTTCTGCTTTTTCACTTTGCAGATGACATGGGAGTTTGCGTTTTTTGGGTATGTCCGACAACTCCCATGTCATCTGCGGGTTCTATATCTTCTTGACATTCCTCCACCCGGTGAACGAAAAGGCACAATCCGAAGTGGCAAGGTGGAACCCGGGGATTCGCACCAGGAAACTTTGACAAACCATTTGCACTGTGACAACGGCTGTGTTCGCAAATGGTCTCGTTTTGCGCCATCTACGTTGTGAAACGTTCTAAATTCTAAATTCGCATGACTCAACGCCCTCACCACACAGAAGGCTGCCCGAAAAGTCTGCCAAAAGGGATCAAAGAGCCTCAAAATGCCTATGGTGTAAGATGTGACGACAGGCGCTACCATTGGCCATCTGAAAGTGCAGCACTGTCAATTTCGGACCTTCAGAAACTTCGGCAATACTTTGTTTAAAACCGCTGCATCATCAATCAAGGTTTCCACAAAGAACTTCTCTTCAGCCTTGCATGCAAACCTTGAACACGTCTGATGGAACCTTCGACAAACCACCATCTATGATGGCAGATTTAAAATCAGTCCCTCTTTCGTGCGTGTCCTTGCTAGCAACTCCTTCTTTGGGGTACTTTAAAGGCTACACACCTCGCAAAGCCAATCTGCAAAATCTGCTAATCACAACTTAAGTTTGAGGAAAGTATTCAATCAATTGGTGGCCTGAAGCTGTGGTTTTCTGCAGAAAACCAGCTCTGGCTAGCCGCTAAGCCGCTAAGCCGTCGACTGCCTTCTGTGTCGCGATGGCTGCTGGATTAAGCGCACCCGCGGTTTGAAGCCCCAAGAACAAGACGGCACCCTTTGGAGCTCTCGTCTCGATTGATCATCTGGTATCTGGTTGCAAGTTTGGTCCCCTGCAAACGGGTTTTGGTGAAAGCTGGCAGTTACACAGAAAGCATCGGCTGCTTCTGTGGATAATGCCAGATCAACGGCAACTTTTGACAGAATCAAAGCCTGAAATCTCCTACACACACATTGAAGCGGCACGTCCAACTAAAACAGGAGGTTCTCTCAAACATTCTACTTGCGCTCAAACAGTTTGGTCAGAATGTCGCACGCCAACATTTCGTCAACTGAAAGCGGGGTGCCCCCCCAACCCCACAGCGGAACACGGCACTCAAGAGCATTGGCAGTTCAAGAGTTGATGCTGCCTTTTCAGCACAGGTGTCAATGGAACCTGCTAAGTCGATCACCTGGAACTCACGTACTTCAACTTTAAACTTCTGAAGCTCAAACCGTATTTTCGGGCTTGAGCTATCCAGCGTGAGAAACCTTCGCAGTCAAATGGCACTGGGTTGCCTTAAGATGCAATTTAGTAAGACTATACACCGCCGGCTTGACACCGAATTTCTGCATTGTAGCAGCAAAAAAATGGGCCTCTGAAATCGTCTGACTACCCTCGTCACCCAACCCTTTTTTTGAAAAAGATCCTCAAGATTTGAAGATTTTGAAGCCGCAACAGCTTCTTGTTTCTGCTAATGGACTGGTAGCACGTGCCATCTTTATCTGGGGACCTTGAGCAACTCTTGTAGGACATGCAATTCCAATCTAAGGCCCGTTCCGAAAGCGAATGAATCAAAGCTTAGAGAGAGCGACAGCACGCATCAACACACGGTGTCGTGATAAGCATTAGGTCAAATCAAGTGCAGCTTGTGACAGCATCAAAGGTTGAAATATCACATGAGCTGTTGCCAGAACCTGTCGTGGATGTGTTCTTGTTGGTCTTCTCTTTCGCTGTTTCTTTGGCGACACGTTTGCAGCCTACACTTTCGCAGCGTCCATTTGCATGAAAATCACGTTCACAGAGCTTTCGCGGATGGAATCTTGAACTGTATTTCCACTCTCGGAATCTTTTCGTGACTCTAGTTTCAGCTTTCGCGAAGGCGTATCACTTCAACCCTCCTTCAAAGGATCAATTGCTGGGTTTTGGACGCTGCTCACATGCATTCAAGCTGCAAGTGCATCTAAGTAAAGTTGCTTTCTCAAACGGCTAACTACTCGACTGCAAACCGAAGCGGATTGAGGATCCTCGGGTATTGGCAATGACATTGGGCCCCAAGAAAGTACAACATGAGGAAGGAAAAGTAGGACTGGGGTGCTTGCTACTGAAAGGCATAAGCGCTTCAGGGTTTCTGCCAGCATTTTTACAGGCATTGAAAGCCCCTAAACATGCTCAGTGAGTCCTGACGTGATTACGCCTGGAGCTCCTTCTGCTCAGTCACTTTGTTCTGATAATTTAGACAGGAAACGTCGGGCCCAAGCCAACCCCAAAAAGAAATCCATTCCCAAAGAGGGTCTTGCCAGGTTGTGCGCCAGCATTTAGTTGAACCAGATAAAAGAGCAAGGTGCCTGCCCAACCTCACAGGGGAATGCTGCAGTCAACAGAATTGACAAGTGCTTGAGCCAGTCTGCAACGATTCTGCGCGCGTCGGGAAGCCTCGGCTCAATCCTCCAACTTCAATGTTTACGTCCCAGGTGAGGTCTGCGGATTTACCACGATTTGCTCAGTTCAGCATTGCAGTAGCCGTCACTTTAGACCTTGGCCTTGCCAAGTCCAACTGCATGTCAAGGCGATTGACATGTACAGCTTCTAAAGCTGGAAGAGAAACACCCTTGTGCTCGTTAATGAAGCCTCAGGAAATAATGCAATCATGCGTGGCCTAGATTTGCCGCCTTCAAAGTAGAACGTGCTCCTGTTTTACGTTCAAAACCAAAATGCACTTGCAAGACCATGTTCTTCAATTCTTTATGTTGACAATCTGACTCTCGTTTCCAAGCTGTAACTGGCGTTGCTAGCAACTGCGGTTTCCAGCGCCATGTAGGGTACTTTAAAGGCTCTTTACCTTGCCAAACCTATCTGCAACAAACATCTGCCACAACTCAAGCTGGGTGAATCGCCTGATACGTTTGCTAAAGCTCCTGCCAAGGATCGTTGTACTTGGCGCACATTATCTTTCGTCCGCCTTTGCTTGCTTTCAAGTTGCGCCCCTTTTGTTCAGCACTGGCGGGAGCGTCGGGATTCCACAAAATACATGACGCCGTGACCGCATCACCCGTGGGAATTGAACCCATGACCATTTCAAGGCCCCCCCCTTATAATTGAAATCTACTGCATAATGCCCCCCCAATACCTATGATTGTGCTGAAGCACGGAGAGCTCAGGCTGACGCTACCTTTCGTGACCTGTAGAAGGTACTCAGCCTGGGTGGCTCTAAGCTAATCCAACAATCGTGCAGCTGAATGCTCAGTCTTTTGTGCTCAGCCCCAGAAGACATGTGAATCGGATCGTGTCTGCGAAGTCAGTCTTGGCCAGGGTGAAAATAGCTTTCACCACCCACCGAGCAGAATGCTGCAGCGTGGCAAGAATTGAGGCATGGCACGGCAGTTTGCTGGACCCCAGCACCAAAGGGCTTATTGATGCTCAAGTCAGGACTCAGAGCTTAAGTTTCATTGGCTCTAGGCTGATGCAACACCACAATGACTTTTTTTTAAAGTTTATGGTCCCATGGCAAATTTGGGGGGTATCGCCATTTGGGAAGGTCCCATCACTTACCTCATGTTTGTACAATATTTGAAAACCGATGTCCATCCCTTACATGTGCTCTATTGCCGGACTTTTTACGGTGGCTCATTTGCTAAATTGACCCAACAAAATTCATCCTTCTGAGGGTATGGAAAGCATCCGACCTCCTACTCGAGACATAAAAGATATCAAAAATATTCAAAAATACTAGTGTCTCTGTAGCAACAAAGCCTCCCACGAACAGAGAACAAGCAGAGGTGCCCTTCGAAATGCTCGGGCATAGATTTAGGTTGCCGGCATTTGGTCTATGATGCTGTTGTCCCTGATAGAAGCAGCAAAGCATCAAATGCTGTGATGCAAGACTAGCTTATTTAGGGCACCTCGCGACATAGAAGCCTGAACATAATGCACAAACAAGACAGGGGCACAGCTAACGGACTTTGCTCTGACTACCCACCAAGTGGAACGTGGCAGCGTGACTTCAGAACCGGTGTTCCGTTGGAAAATTCTTTGCAATCCCAAGCACGACCTCTTGGCCTCTTCATGAGAACAAGCATAGGCGCTTCTCAAAATCGCAAAGGATCCCGTAAAGATGATGTTCAAGTCAGGACTCAGAGCTTAAGTTTCTCTGGCTCTAGGCTGATCCTGCAACAGACCCAACACCGCAACCAGCATTCATCAAATGGTTCAACGGATGGAGGCTCCAACGGTGTTGAATAAAGCTGGACCTCTGCTAAAATTGACCTAACTTAACTCATCTGTCTGAGGGTATGGAAATCATCCGATCTCCTACTCCAGACCAAGACGATTTAAAAATATTACTCTCTCTGTAGCAACAAAGCCTCCCGTGAACATGAGAACAATCACAGGCGCTTCTCAAAATCGCAAAGGATCCCGTCAAGATGATGACAGCAGTGCGGCGACAAGGCCACTTCTTTGTCTCAATGGGGCTGGTTGTTGGAGCTTCGGGGTTTCAAAGTTTGCAGCCAAAATATGGGAGTCTAGTGGTTTTGTATCTGCCAGGTTCTTACTCAGGGCATGCCTTTGAGATTGACAAACCTTGGGTTTGTACCCCAACAACGACAAGATTGACCCTCCAAAGCAGCCTTTTGAGCAATTGGCAACTGATGATGTTATCCTTGCAAAAGGGTCTGAGCATTTTGGCACTGGGATAGGTGGGGTAAAGACACATCATGTGGTAAGGGACCTTTATTCAGGTGCACGAATAGCATATCCCCTTTCTAAGCGAGATGTCAAGTCACATGCCAAAAACTTCCGACGTTCAAGTCAGGACTCAGAGCTTAAGTTTCTCTGGCTCTAGGCTGATCCTGCAACAGACCCAACACCGCAACTAGCATTCATCAAATGGTTCAACAGATGGAGGCTCCAACGGTGTTGAATAAAGCTGGACCTCTGCTAAAATTGACCTAACTAAACTCATCTGTCTGAGGGTATGGAAATCATCCGATCTCCTGCGCACGACCAAGACGATTTTAAAATATGACTCTCTCTGTAGCAACAAAGCCTCCCGTGAACATGAGAACCATCATAGGCGCTTCTCAAAATCGCAAAGGATCCCGTAAAGATGATGTTCAAGTCAGGACTCGGAGCTTAAGTTTCTCTGGCTCTAGGCTGATCCTGCAACAGACCCAACACCGCAACTAGCATTCATCAAATGGTTCAACGGATGGAGGCTCCAACGGTGTTGAATAAAGCTGGACCTCTGCTAAAATTGACCTAACTAAACTCATCTGTCTGAGGGTATGGAAATCATCCGATCTCCTACTCAAGACCAAGACGATTTTAACATATTACTCTCTCTGTAGCAACAAAGCCTCCCGTGAACATGAGAACAAGCATAGGCGCTTCTCAAAATCGCAAAGGATCCCGTAAAGATGATGTTCAAGTCAGGACTCAGAGCTTAAGTTTCTCTGGCTCTAGGCTGATCCTGCAACAGACCCAACACCTTAACCAGCATTCATCAAATGGTTCAACGGATGGAGGCTCCAACGGTGTTGAATAAAGCTGGACTTCTGCTAAAATTGACCTAACTAAACTCATCTGTCTGAGGGTATGGAAATCATCCGATCTCCTACTCACGACCAAGACGATTTTAAAATATGACTCTCTCTGTAGCAACAAAGCCTCCCGTGAACATGAGAACAATCATAGGCGCTTCTCAAGATCGCAAAGGATCCCGTAAAGATGATGTTCAAGTCAGGACTCAGAGCTTAAGTTTCTCTGGCTCTAGGCTGATCTTGCAACAGACCCAACACCGCAACTAGCATTCATAAAATGGTTCAACGGATGGAGGCTCCAACGGTGTTGAATAAAGCTGGACCTCTGCTAAAATTGACCTAACTAAACTCATCTGTCTGAGGGTATGGAAATCATCCGATCTCCTACTCAAGACCAAAACGATTTTAAAATATGACTCTCTCTGTAGCAACAAAGCCTCCCGTGAACATGAGAACAATCATAGGCGCTTCTCAAAATCGCAAAGGATCCCGTAAAGATGATGTTCAAGTCAGGACTCAGAGCTTAAGTTTCTCTGGCTCTAGGCTGATCCTCCAACAGACTCAGACCCAACACCGCAACCAGCATTCATCAAATGGTTCAACGGATGGAGGCTCCAACGGTGTTGAATAAAGCTGGACCTCTGCTAAAATTGACCTAACTAAACTCATCTGTCTGAGGGTATGGAAATCATCCGATCTCCTGCGCAAGACCAAGACGAGTTTAAAATATTACTCTCTCTGTAGCAACAAAGCCTCCCGTGAACATGAGAACAATCACAGGCGCTTCTCAAAATCGCAAAGGATCCCGTAAAGATGATGTTCAAGTCAGGACTCAGAGCTTAAGTTTCTCTGGCTCTAGGCTGGTCCTGCAACAGACCCAACACCGCAACTAGCATTCATCAAATGGTTCAACAGATGGAGGCTCCAACGGTGTTGAATAAAGCTGGACCTCTGCTAAATTGACCTAACTAAACTCATCTGTCTGAGGGTATGGAAATCATCCGATCTCCCGCGCAAGACCTGAAAGGTAGGCCGAAGGGGGCAACACACTCTAAACTCAAAAGACAAGCTTCAAGCTTGTTGGTACTCAAGGTTCTCCCGTCATTCCTTCCCAAGCTCCAGACCCAAATCTGGGTGGCAAAAGGCACTCCGCCCATCCGACGTTTCTCTTCAAACGGATGTGTAAAGGATCAAATACTGCAGCTTAGGACTACGTCAATTGGGAGCTTCAAGCCAACTAGACTAATCAAACATTCGATCCACGAGCACATCCATGTGCCACAATTTTCGCCAACCACTGGCTCACTGACTTTCCCTGCCCTCGACCTCCAAGCTTGTTGACATTCAGGTCAATAGACAACGCTTAAGTTTCACTGGGGCATACTGGGGCAATCCAACACCACAAGCAGCTACCGTCAGATATCTCAACCGGTGGATGCTCCCAAAGTGTCGGTTGAGCCAAGGCCGTTGTTTGAAATCGTTTCCCAGGCAAAAGGCACTCTGCCCATTCATCGTTTCTCTTCAAACGGATGTGTAAGGGATCAAATACGGCAGCTTACGACTACATCTATTGGTAGCATCAAGCCAGATGGACTTCTCAAGCATTGGAACCACGAGCACATCCATGTGGCACAATTTTCACCAGGCTCACTGACCTTCCCTGCCCTTGACCTCCAAGCTTGTTGACATTCAGGTCAGTAGGCAAGGCTTAAGTTTCACTTGAGCATTGCGTTACTGCTAGCTATCGTCAAATAGCTCAACCGGCTCAACTGGTGGATGTTCCCAAAGTGTCGGTTGAGCCAAAGTTGTTGATTGAAATCGTTTCCCAGGCAAAAGGCACTCTGCCCATCCGGTGTTTCTCTTCAAACGGATGTGTAAGGGATCAAATACGGCAGCTTACGACTACATCTATTGGTGGCATCAAGCCAGATGGACTTCTCAAGCATTGGAACCACGGGCACATCCATGTGCCACAATTTTCACCAACCACTGGCTCACTGACTTTCCCTGCCCTCGACCTCCAAGCTTGTTGACATTCAGGTCAGTAGGCAACACTTAAGTTTCACTGGGGCATACTGGGGCATACTGGGGCATACTGGGGCAATCCAACACCACAAGCAGCTATCGTCAGATATCTCAACCGGTGGATGCTCCCAAAGTGTCGGTTGAGCCAAAGCTGTTGATTGAAATCGTTTCCCAGGCAAAAGGCACTCTGCCCATCCGGTGTTTCTCTTCAAACGGATGTGTAAGGGATCAAATACGGCAGCTTACGACTACATCTATTGGTGGCATCAAGCCAGATGGACTTCTCAAGCATTGGAACCACGGGCACATCCATGTGCCACAATTTTCACCAACCACTGACTCACTGACTTTCCCTGCCCTCGACCTCCAAGCTTGTTGACATTCAGGTCAATAGACAACGCTTAAGTTTCACTGGGGCATACTGGGGCAATCCAACACCACAAGCAGCTATCGTCAGATATATATCACAACCGGTGGATGCTCCCAAAGTGTCGGTTGAGCCAAGGCCGTTGTTTGAAATCGTTTCCCAGGCAAAAGGCACTCTGCCCATTCATCGTTTCTCTTCAAACGGATGTGTAAGGGATCAAATACTGCAGCTTACGACTACATCTATTGGTAGCATCAAGCCAGATGGACTTCTCAAGCATTGGAACCACGAGCACATCCATGTGGGACAATTTTCACCAGGCTCACTGACCTTCCCTGCCCTTGACCTCCAAGCTTGTTGACATTCAGGTCAGTAGGCAAGGCTTAAGTTTCACTTGAGCATTGCGTTACTGCTAGCTATCGTCAAATAGCTCAACCGGCTCAACCGGTGGATGTTCCCAAAGTGTCGGTTGAACGAAGACTGGCGCTAAATCATTGCTGGAAAGAAGCACCACCACCCGTGCCGGAGAAAGAGCCTGGCTTCTCTGTTGGATATCGAAAACAGCCTGATCCTAATCCGCCGCAACTTCTTAGCCTCGCTCTTTAGCCTCGTTTTCATTGGCTCCAGGCTGATCACAACTGGTGCGACTAGCTATCGTCAGATGGCTCAATCGATCCATGCGGTGTTGGGTGACCCAGGACTGCTAAATTCGCCTTGCGCTCAGAGACTGGTGCTAGAGACTGCTTCAGTCAGTCTGTGCCAAACATGACTTCACCACCAACAATTCGTGGATCTTACTTGGTCCTAACATATCCTCCTTGATCTTCAAACGAGCATTAATTTCGGGTTGTTTGCTTGTTCGTATATATATGTTTTTGGCAAACCGAGCGCGTTTTTCCATCACGAGCAGAAATTTACCAAACAAGCACTTCTTGAGTTTTCACTGGCTGTCACTGATTTTCAAAAAAAGCAGCACAAGAAGCGCAATTTCCCGCAATCGAGCGCGATTTCCAGCATACGAGCGCACATTTGGAAATCTGCTCGAGCAGAAATGAGTGTACTTTTGAAGCTCCAGGCCAACCATGTATGCCAGATCAGTGCCTGATTTCAGTGCTTGATTCTGCGTTTGATAGAGATCTTACACGAAAAGCGATAAGATTTTGTACCAGCCGCCTCCTTCATCTGAGAGCAAAGTTCCAAGAAATATCGCACGGCAAGTGACCACTGCTATTTCTCAGTCCTAAAAGAGACAGGAATCACACCCTGAGCACATGTCCGTGGCTAAGTTCGTTTTTGGATATTTTGGCCAACTTGGATGATTTTGGCAAATCGTGGTTGATGGCCTTGATGCTGAGACTACAATCAGCCCGTGTGCCAGTCCATGATGCAAGCTTGAAAGCGCACAAAACTCGGAACCCAACATGTCAAACGTCAGTTATCCATCTCAAGAATTGGCAGGTTTGGACAGAGGGGTATGAATTAAGAAGAGAAAAAGCAATCACGTGCGAAAGGAGCGCTGAGCCTGGTTCCTCAAAGGAACCAAAGTAGCACATGACTGCAGTTGCAAATACCCCTGTATCAAGAAATACTTCTGGTGTGCGGCCAAGTTTGTTGCATGGCTCTGTGAGGAACTAAAGATTCCATCACACTTCAATAAAGGTGAACAAAGGGATATCCTCCCATAGCTGCTGGTTCAAGTTTTTCCCAAACCATGTTGAAATCCATGTTGTGGTTCCAAAAACGTGGAGAACTATTCGTTTCTCCTAGAAGTTATACTGTTCACAAGGGAGGGGAAGGAGCAAGCAACAAACCTACAAGAATTTGCAACGTGAAACAGTGGTGAATCTGCCCTCACGGCGCTTCCTTCGCACAGCTGCAAGTCCATATCAGGTCGCCGTTTCAAGTCCTCATGGCAGATTGTCAGCGAGTTCCCTTTGAGAATTCTTTGCGTCGGAAACTCTGAGAACATGCACACGGCAGGAATATCTTTCTAACTTGGCTAATGATGCTAATGGGAACGAGTTTTCAAAATGCACCGCTCAACTTTCCTGCGATGCTGCGATGCTCCCAAACCACCCAGGATTCGCAGCAAAGGCAAAAGTTCCAATAGTTTCCACCTCTCCCAGCCTTTTGCAAAGTGCATCAGTTCTGTTCCTTTCATTTTGTACCTGTTCTTTGGGAAGGGATGGGAAAAGTTCCAACGAGAATTTCCACTAAGCCGCTGGCAGATTTATGAAACCCAACAAGTTTTGACCCTTGGGGCGGGAAGGTGAAAGCAGGGACTGAAACACGGGACTTCGCCACATACGTTGGCACATCCAATTTTTAACAGATTCAGATCTTTCTATTTCACTTTTCCTCTGCTTCAAAACAGGCAGACTCTAAAGTCACGCCATGGATTTTATCAGAAATTCCGCAAATCGAGGCGCTCAGCTAAGATTCTGGTCATGAGAGGATCGATCAACAAAGGCTCAAATGCAAGCAACAGAGCACAATAAACGTGCGCAAACATGGCCGGCCCTTCCGGTCTCTACTTTTTTTTGCGGTTCGCAGGGCTACGAAATACTGATTCGATGCATGCGGGGTGTACATGTTGCTGTACATGTTCAATCAGTTTCAACAACAATCCAAGAGGTAGGAAAAATCGATGGCTTACATTCAATACGTCCATCCATACTTCCTTTTTGGCTGATGAAGCATACACAATCCATATGTGTCTGTTTGACTCCCAATTCCTAAGTATTTGTCAACAAACACCCAGCTGTGAGCCAGATGCAATCCTTTTCTTGGAGTTGCCAACGGTTGTCAATTCGCTGATGGGATCCCTATGTTGCTTTGAACAAACGCTTCGTGGCACACAAGTGACCCCCATCATCCAAACTCGTCACCAGCACCCTAGGCCCTAGTGGCTCACCTTAGTTGGAGCGACAAACTACTCACAATTTCAACTTATACTTAACTATGACCCGCTGCATTCTCTGTGGGAAATTCATATGGAACTATATTATCGAAGGAAGTTTAGAAGTCAAACTTCCGACAATATGGACAGATCAAAAAGCAGAGATGGGAAGAGTCAGAGAAGAGAAGAAGAAAGAAGAAAGAAGAAAGAAGAAAGAAGAAAGAAGAAAAAAGGTCAGAAAACAGAAAGAGTCAGAAGAAAGAAGATGCAGGCGCGCGAAAAGGTAGACAAGTCGCGAAACACTGTGTTTTGCCAATGTTTCGTGGCTCCGGAGGGTCGAAAAGTATAGGCTCGCTAAAGCGGCGGGTGCGGAGCCATCTGGGGAGATGAGAAATGAAAAAATGCACGCCGTTGTGGCGCGAAGCACATGTCCAAGTCAAAATGCACAAAACATTACAAAACACACCAGGTTCGGAGCACTTTTGGAAGTTGAGATGTTGGAGCGGTTGCGGCGCGAAGCATTTCGAAGGCGAAATGTACAAAACACACCATTCTCGGATCACTTTTGGAAGTTGAGGTGTTGAAAAAGCGCACGCCGTTTTGGCGCGAAGCACATTTCGAAGGCAAAATGTACAAAACACACCATTCTCGGAGCACTTTTGGACGTTCAGATGTCGTTTCGCGTGGCAGGCGCAAGGGATTCTGCACCTCGCCAAAGGTCAGCAAAACGTGAGGGTTTTGTAGCAGTTTCAAAAGCGTTGGCAAGCGTAGGACATTTGAAGAAAACAAGAGACACATGAATCAGACGTGTTAGGAGGTCCGGGCGCTGATTTCCTGAGAGGGGTTGCATTTTGGAGCAACAAATCATCAAATCTTCAGGTTTGCTAAGATGATTTTGCGTGACAGGTGCAGCACTTCGTATGACCTGGCTTCACTTTTTCGTGGCAGGCGCGCAAAACGCATTGGCACGAGGCCGTCAGCTCTGCACTCAACTTTCGATTCTTGAAGGAAGTCTCGCAGAATTGCTTCGTTTTTGATGTTGTCACGTTCAAAATTGAGGAGACCTCGCAGAATTGCTGCGTATTTGATGTTGCCAAGTTCAAAATTGAGGAAGTCTTGCAGAATAGCTTCGTGTTCAAGCTTGCAGATAGGCAGATAGGCAGATAGATAGATAGATAGACAGAGAGAGAGAGACTGACTGACTTACTGCTACTACTACTACTACTACTACTACTACTACTACTACTACTACTACTACAACAGCTACAACTCCAACTACAACTACGCTACACTAATTACACTACACTACAATACAACAGTACACTACAGTACACGACGCTACACAACAACTACGACTACACCACACTGCACAACGCTACACTACACTACATACACTACACTACAACTCCACTACACTACGCTACAACTACAACTACAATTGCACTACACCACACTACATCCGAGCAGTTGTGGGTGAGGTGACCATTGCAACCATTCCAACCACTCCAAAAAACACACACTACAACCACCTTTCGGTTCATCAGTGGATTCGCTCTGCCATTCATGATTCACAACAACCAACCTCTCCTATAGGTTTCCTATCTTTGAAACTTCCGCCACCGCCTTGTGCGGTACTACTGGTATATATATATATATACATATTATATACATATTATATAGACATGTTTGTGGACCAAATCTACTTTTGGTCCCACCACAAAGCAGCTGAACAATGTTGAACATTCTCCACCTGTCACTTCCAGAACGGTGGACAATCCTGGCCCCATTGACACAGCCTTTTCTTCTCAGCGGCAACTCTGGAAATTGAATATCACATCTGATGATTTCTCTGAGAGGTTTCTGCCCGGGGCAGCCAATTGCCATATGGAAAGTTGAAAATGAAAAGCTTTTCAAACCAAGACATCTGTTTCAAAGTACTTCGTGTGAATGTAGCTATGCTAGTGAAGCTATGCTAGCAGCTGCAACTCTGTACTCTGTGAGTAGCGGAAGCAAAGGCCCAGAGGTTTACTTCTCTTTGGCCTTGGGTGCAAAAGCACTGGCCCCCCAACCCCGATTTTAGCTGGTGCCACTGCGATACTCCCAGGCTTAGAGACTAGTGTCGTTTGGCCTTCCGCAATGAAAGGCACACTCTTGAAATTGCCGGAATGCGAATAAGAAATAAGCAGTTAAGTAGCAGTCACTCGCACGTCCAAACATTGGAAACTTTGGCTGCTCTGCCAAAAAGGCCGTACCTTCACAATTCTTCAGAGGGAGGCGATGGAAAAATCTTGGGCTGCACCATCTCATTGAATATGGGAACAGTGTCAGCAACCGAAAGCCGAGTTTTCAGGTGGGCTTCAAGCTGAGTGCTGAATCTAGTCAAGGAACTTCGTGAACCTTTCTCTCCCAAGCATTCCTCACGTCACGTGATTGCGGCTTATGTGTTCAAGATTATGATATATTATGATCAGTTAATGCCTGAGGCCTCCGGTTGCACATTCATGGCAGGCAACAGCCGCTTTCAAGAAACAGGAGTCATCTACTTCTGCCATCTCTGATGCACAACGAAGCACTACCTTACTGCAACTTTCTGTGTCAGTCGGAGCAAAGTGTATCTTTTGGCGTCAGGCAGCTATCCCGAGCCTGTCACCTGACAGCGATTTAACCGAAGCAACCAGGCGTTTTATTCGGCTGTTCTGCTGATCACCTTTGCCAAAAAGTCTGGTTCTGGCAATGCCGAGAACAAAAATAATGGGCTCATGCCGAAGATGTGGCTCTCATGCCTGTTGTGGTCAGAATCAAACAGCCCACATGGTAAAAGCGTTTGCCTATCTCGAAGCCTCTAAAGGCAGCTGGTGTCCGACGTCACTCTTGTACTCCCAACGGAGAAATACCGCTACCCCCGCCAAGTCTATGTTGCCAGAGACCCTGGCTGCTGCGAGGTTGTGAGTGGTGCAAGTTGTCCGAGTCGTGGCAAATGCTCAAGTGGCCCTTCTATCCATCAGAAACCAGCTATCTGGAGACTGTGGGTTGACATTTCTTTGCTCCATCTAGGCACGCGACAACTGCTTTTTCCCCTTGGCTGTTCTGTGGGTTTGGGACTGTGGTGACAGTGTGTTGTCAACTTTGAAGTTGAAGGCAAGTCGCACTTGAAGCCACTTCTGAAATCCCTGAAATCACACAGAATTGCTACCAATACCTTGGGATACCTCGAGAGCTACGAATGAAAAGGCACAATCCGAAGTGGCAAGGTGGAACCCGGGGATTCGCACCAAACTTTGACAAACCATTTGCACTGTGACAACGGCTGTGTTCGCAAATGGTCTGGTTTTGCGCAATCTACGTTGTGAAACGTTGTAAATTCGCAAGACTTAACGCCCTCACCACACAGAAGGCTGCCCGAAAAGTCTGCCAAAAAGGGATCAAAGAGCCTCAAAATGCCTACGGTGTAAGATGTGACGACAGGCGCTGCCATTGGCCATCTGAAAGCAGCTGAGTGTTTGATAATTTTGATATCCGACTCTTCACCCTTTCCACCGGTGCCCGCCAGGCTCAATCAGATGAGCCACCTGCACCCCCTGGAGCTGCTTCGGCATCCATTTAAGGGACCGGAGCTGGAACGAGATGCTGATGACCCCAAGTTTAGGCTGCTCAGTTTCCAGACCCGCCAGCAGCCATCAGGAGTGAGTGCAGGTGATGCTTGCCCCTCAGTGACTGAGTGGTGCAGTCCTTGCGACCCGACAGGAACAGCCACAACAACAGCTGTTGAAAGCTTGTTTGCACTCAGGGCCTAGAAACCATCTGGCACCAAGAGCTTATCTTCTTGACATTCCTCCACCCGGTGACATGAGAGTGACAAGCCGCACTCTTGCAGCACTGTCTTTTTCGGACCTTCAGAAACTTCGGCAGTACTTTGTTCAAAACCGCCGCACCATCAATCAAGGTTCCACAAAGAACTTCTCTTCAGCCTTGCATGCAAACCTTGAACAGGTCTGATGGAACCTTCGACAAACCACCATCTATGATGGCGGATTTTGATGGCAGATTTAAAATCAGTCCCTCTTTCGTGCGTGTCCTTGCTAGCAACTCCAGCGCTATGTGGGGTACTTTAAAGGCTCCACACCTTGCAAAGCCAATCTGCAAAATCTGCTAATTACAACTTAAGTTTGAGGAAAGTATTCAATCAATGGGTGGCCTGAAGCTGTGGTTTTCTGCATAAAACAAGCTCTGGCTAGCCGCTAAGCCGCTAAGCCGTCGACTGCCTTCTGTGTCGCGATGGCCGCTGGATTAAGCGCACCCTCGGTTTGAAGCCCCAAGAACAAGAGGGCACCCTTTGGAGCTCTCGTTTCGATTGATCATCTGGTATCTGGTTGCAAGTTTGGTCCCTTGCAAACGGGTTTTGGTGAAAGCTGGCAGTTACACAGAAAGCATCGGCTGCTTTTGTGGATAATGCCAGATCAACGGCAACTTTTGACAGAATCAAAGCCTGAAATCTCCTACACGCACATTGAAGCGGCACGTCCAACTAAAACAGGAGGTTCTCTCAAACATTCTACTTGCGCTCAAACAGTTTGGTCAAAATGTCGCACGCCAACATTTCGTCAACTGAAAGCGGGGTGCCCCCCCAACCCCACAGCGGAACACGGCACTCAAGAGCATTGGCAGTTCAAGAGTTGATGCTGCCTTTTCAGCACAGGTGTCAATGGAACCTGCTAAGTCGATCACCTGGACCTCACATCTGCTTCCACTTTAAAGTTCTGAAGCTCAAAGCGAATTCTCGTGCTTGAGCAATCCAGCGTGAGAAACCTTCGCAGTCAAATGGCACTGGGTTGCCTTAAGATGCAATTTAGTAAGACTATACACCGCCGGCTTGACACCGAATTTCTGCATTGTAGCAGCAAAAAAATGGGCCTCTGAAATCGTCTGACTGCCCTCGTCACCCAACCTTTTCATTGAAAAAGATCTTCAAGATTTGAAGAATTTGAAGCCACAACAGCTTCTTGTTTCTGCTAATAGACTGGTAGCACGTGCCATCTTTATCTGGGGACCTGGAGCAACTCTTGTAGGACATGCAATTCCAATCCAAGGCCCGTTCCGAAAGCGAATGAATCAGAGCTTAGAGAGAGCGACCGCACGCATCAACACACGGTGTCGTGATAAGCGTTAGGTCAAATCAAGAGTCAAAATGGTGGAGAATTAATTGTTGGAAGATAGAGCGGCGCATTGTTCGCCAGACCGGACAGGGGAAGCCTACACTCAAAATCATTCCCGAGCGCTCGAGCCAGTCTGCGACGAGTCTGCACGTGTTGGGAGGCCTCGGCTCAATCCTCCACCTTCAATCTTTACGTCCCAGGTGAGGTCTGCGGATTTACCACGATTTCAGGATGGTTCCAAAACGGTTCAGGAATCTAAACCGCTGCACATAAGGAACCGAACCGGTCCGGAATCGGAAAAAATCGAATCGTTTGGAATCGAATCGGATTGAATCGACCAGGATTTTAAGGAACCGGAACACAACAATAATTAAGAATCGAATCAAACATGAATCGGTAGGTTGCTTGAACCGAATCGCCCCGAATCGATTTTCAAGGGGAACCGAATCGACGGGAATCGAGGCCATGCATACCCGGGATCATATATATATATATATATATCTTGGATGTTTGTATTGGATTGAGCCACGCAAGTGCTTGAGATAATTATTGCACAAGCCCGCCACCCGCCATTTTCCGTCACGGCCCTTTTCCGTCTCTACATCAGCGGATCCCTCCATAGCCTGGATCTTCGTCCTGGCGCGGCCAAGCTAAAGTAACGGTTAAATTACATGATCTGGTATGTGATGACAATTCGAAAATACGAACGATGAGGAATTTAATCTCAATCTATTGGGAAAAGAAAACTATTTTGCTACAACAAGAATACTGAAATTTGAACAATAATGTCCACAAGGCGAATTGAACTATTATATGACTATGAAGGCACGGACGATTGGCTATGAACCCTGGAAAATCCAAGGGCCATCATGATTTCCATCTAAATATATCTCTTTCCACCACCAAGTCACGTTTGTAGATTTTAACAGGTTTCAGACTAGTTTCAAAGCAGTTTCAGACCCCTAGAAGGGACAGGTTTGAGGTGTAGGTATGTAGCTAGGCTAGGTAGTTAGGTAGATATGTAGGTAGGTATCTATGTACCTATGGATGTATATATGTAAATAGATATGTCTGTATGTATGTATATAACCAATCCTACTATAGAATTCTGTCCACGTAATACAACTGAATCGTATCATGTTGAGCCTATTGTATTCCGGACGATTAGCTACGAACCGATGCCTGCAGATTATGATTTACGTCTTTCAGTCCTAAGCGGGCGATTGCATCACCATTATGGCCAACATTTGTGTTACCTGCCCTCAAACACCAAGGGCCAAAAGCTACCATCGGTAAAATTATGTAAACTTGCAACCCATATGATCTATATACATGGTAGGCAATGGCACGTACCAACGGACATCCTTGTCATTGTCCGCTTCGGATCTTTGGTATGCCTCCTCTGCGAGCCGGCAACTACGCTAGCGAGCGCACCTGCACTGTGCACCAAGTGTTGGTGGCGAGTCAGAAGGAAGGAGGCGATCCAGGTACCTACCCGGCTGCTTTGCTGGTTGCTGCCTTGACCCCAAAGTGACCATTGGCAGTAAACATATATATACATATATATTTTGTTGGGAATCAGTTATAAGAATGTACAAGTGGAAGTCCTGAACTCATCGAATTATTAGGAGCGTTACTCTAAAAAGTAGTGTATAAATATGTAGGTGTTAACCATTGAATCACCTTGCCGGTCTGTAGATAAGCTTTAAACTGTGTATCTACCACAATTGGTGTAGAATCATCGGTGAAACTGAAAGCGTGTGGTGCCACAAGAAAATAGTTTGAAACAGGTTTGAAACTAGTTTGAACCCCGGAAATTTTGCTCAATTCCGTCCATCCATCCGACCCACGTCTTCAAAACAAGCTGCCTAACCTGCTAGCACACGGAGGCCTAGTTTGAATTTGGAACAGCTTTGTTTCCAATGCCCCGGAATTCCAAGGGCCACAAAATGTCAACCCATGGCCAACGTGGGTGGCCCCCTATCGGTTGTGAATGTTTGCACTTCCATGGAAATTGGGTTACTTACTCTTGCCCTGGAACGCCACGGGCCAAAACAACCTGCGACCGCATGTGGTATCACAGTATTCCAATACTATACTTGCAGAACTTCACAATGCAAGGCAACCATATCTGGGACCGATATAATATTATACTCTGAATTGCTTTCATCTTGGACGGTCACGCCCCTAGAATACTGCGGATTCCTCCGAGAACAGCACATGCGGCGCGCATTTTTCCATACGGTATCACGGTCAGCAAGCGGTCAAACTTTTTGAAGGCAGAGGTAACAAGCTAGATCGTCTAAGTGATATGCAGGGTGCCTGGTGAATTTCCGGATCTGATCTCTCAACTTGATGGCGCCAGCGTGATCAAGGTTGTGGCGCTTCACACCGTCACCCATCAGGCAAAGCCGCCGCCAGCAAGCTGCACTATCTTGGCATTGCAGCTTCAACACCTGGCCCAAGATTCGGACAAAGTGAATTGACTCATAGCTCCCATTTCTTCCATTGTAGTACTTCATGTTGCCTGCTCGGAGTATATCCAAAGCTTCTTTGTAGCAGAGTTCCGTCAAGCTGCAGAACGCATCCAAGCACTTCGGGAGCGACCCCTGCTCAATGTCCTTGACAACCTCAGCTAGTGAGCGCGAGGCCAAACTATTCCATTTGGATGGGTTGCGGCATGGCATCAGCAGCTTAATCTGGTGGGTCTTGCAAAACTCCTTCACCCTCTCTTCGCCGGCTTTGACCAGTGCCCCGCGTGCCATGCGTAAGGTGGAAAAAAACTCCAGGGTAGCGTCCACGCTCTGCTCCACTGCTGTCAAGAAGCGACGTGCCGCTGCTGTGCGAAGATTGAAATCTGCCACTGACACCGAGAACAGGTCAGGGTGGGCAAGCAAGAGGCTCGCAAAGTAAGCGATGCTTTGCCCGTGGTATAGTACGTGCAACAAGGCAACGATAAGCAAAGCTGTCAGGCGATTGAGGCCCTTCGCTTGCAGCACCTGGAACAAAGTCACAAGTGTTGCGACATCGCGGCGCAACAGTAAAGCCCAAATCGGCTGCCCTTGCTCCAGTTGATTCAAGTGCTGAAGTGGTCCCCGTTGCGGAGGCTTTGGACAAGTTGGCACAGTTCTTTCAAGAATCACATTTTGACTCTGGAGGTGGCGGTGGAAGATATCAGCAAAATGAGGCATTTTGACTTCCATCTCAACAAGCTCGCGTGGCACAGGGCCATGCTCCACATGATCCACAGCACTTTCGGGGTCTTCATGAGGCCCTGTGACCTGACGCTGGTGGGCTTTCAAGCGATCCAAGACTTTATCTCTAGCGCCGTAGCATGGGATGGCCAAGCGTTTGCAAAGGTGACGGAGCGTCGTCAGCGAAATTTGGCTGTACTCGATGCAACCCGTGTGAAATTCTTCAGCGAAGTTGGCCAACTCCTCCTCTGCCGGCACTCGCTCGTGCGACCGCTTCACTCCCCTCATCACCGAGGTAAACAAGCGTTGATCATTGCAGTATAATGCTACTCTTTTCTATATCTTCAGGTGCTTTGAACCATGTGCTCCTGGTTCTAATTACTCTTGGGACGCTTCTTGTTAAGTGCATTCAGCACCAATTCGTTGGCAATATTGAACATCCTGACAATGTTAGTTTTTTTTGGGTGTTTTGCATTGGTTGGCCATTCCTTGCTGGTTCTTAACTGTCTGCTACAGTTATGATATATTTGAAGGATGTCCGAGCAGTCCATGGAGTTTACCAGGTCCTTACTTTATGCTCTTTGGGTGTGACAGGAACCCTTCCAGTCCAGTATTGGATTCTGTTCCTACTTGAACCGAAGATGCATTCAGGCAAGCCAGCGTGTGAGCACTGTCACTTATACGACATCAGTGGATCAACCAATGATTCTAATCACTTATCATGAACTGCTATCAATCCATCATTCTAAATATGCATCAACCAAATATGCGCTGCTTGCCCTGGAATGCCACGGGCCAAAGGAAGAGAAATAATCATGGTAGATTGGAATTCCATATGTTATTCTGTAGATTGGAATCCCATATGCTACCCATTTGGGGGGTAATGGCAAATGCAAGAAACGCGAAGCTATGGGATGCAATTACTACCCACTTGGGATCTTTGGTATCCATCCTCACCCAAACACCAGCTAGCGAGCGCACCTGCACTGGCACTATGCACCAAGTGTTGGTGGAGAGTTTGAAGGAATGCAGCGATCCAGGTACCTGCACGGCTCCTGGTTGCTTGCTTGACTCGAAAGCTATCATTGGCGGTATATGTAAAAAATGGTTCTCACGATCCCATTCTTCCCCAAATTTGTGTTGCCTGCCCTAGAATGCCAAGGGCCAAAGGAGACACCATCATGCATCCCCTTTCAAAATGTAGACGGAACAGACAGCATGCGGCATCAAGCAAATGCGTCTGAAACCGGTCTGAAATCAGTCTGAAACCAATCAATCGATCACGCAGTGCACTTTCTTATGGGGGTTTCCAATTATCCAACTCGGATTCGGAAGCTCCATCTATGTTGTTTTTTGGGACTGAAACAGGTCTGAAACTCATTGGAACCACAAGTCCCGCCAGCGATTCGGACCCGTGCTGCTGCGTAAGTGTCATGAGTGTTGATAACTAGGCGACATTACTGACTCAGTGCTAATCTCACTAGTACTGATTAATACTCAGATAACCAAAATTCGCGTGTGTCCAAGACGAGCCGTAGATGAGCCGTATACTGGCCGTATACAGCAGAAATGCTGCGTTCTAGTCGGTTCTAAGGCTTCACCAAGATGAGCCGTATACTAGCCGTATAGAGCAGAAAAGGTAGTTGAAATCTACCTGAACTCAGCATGTCTGCTGTATACGGCTAGTATACGGCTCATCTTGGTCAAGCCCTAGAACTGACTTGAACTCAGCATTTCTGCTGTATACGGCCAGTATACGGCTCATCTACAGGGCTTGACCAAACTGAGCCATATAATAGCCGTATACAGCAGATATGCTGAGTTCAAAAGAGTTCCAGAGCTTGACCAAGATGAGCAGTATACCAAATTCGATTCTACACTCATGATGTAGTTGAAATCTACCTGAAACCAATTACATCCGTACCTGGACTCGCGTTTGCGGATCCCGGTACGGACGCACTTGATTTCCGATGAATATTCTCTTTGTTCTTTGTCAAAGGGATCTATCTCAATGGTTGCCAAACGGATGGATGCTCTCCATGCTTTGCTTTCTAAGGTTTCAAGGTGATTTCAAACTGTCATACAATTAAAAACTAATTGAAACCAGCTTGCCCATGTGAAACCAGTTTGAAAGCAGTCTGAAACCTTAGAAAGCAGCACTTGAAGAGCATCCGTTTGGGACCTTCTCTGCTGTATACGGCTAGTATACGGCTAGTATACGGCTCATCTCGGTGCAGCCTTAGAACCGACTAGAACTCAGACTTTCTGCTGTATACGACCAGTATACGGCCCATCTACGGCTCATCTTGGACACGCGCGAATTTTGGCTAGCTAAGTATTCATCCGTATTAGTGGGATTAGCAATGAGCCAGTAATGTCACCTAAGCTAGTTATCAACACTCATGACACTTACGTAGCAGCACACGGGTCCGAATCGCTGGCGGGACTGGTGGTTCCAATGAGTTTCAGACCTGTTTCAGACCCAAATAACAACCTAGATGGAGCTTCCGAATCCGATTTAAAGGAAATCTACCTGAAACCAATTACGTCCGTACCTGGAGCTGCTGTATACGGCCAGTATACGGCTCATCTACAGGGCTTGACCAAAATGAGCCGTATAATAGCCGTATGCAGCAGATATGCTGAGTTCAAAAGAGTTCCAGAGCTTGACCAAGATGAGCAGTATACCAAATTCGATTCTACACTCATGATGTAGTTAAAATCTACCTGAAACCAATTACATCAGTTCCAATTTAACCGAATTACAAACGGCTACATGGCAACCCTGCATTGATACATATATTACGGCTACATAGGAGCTCTAGCTTCCTAGGGTTTCCAAGTGGTTTCAAAGCAGTTTCAATGTTTTTTCACTTTGGTTTGAATTTAACAATGCTGGTAGATGCAGGTTTGAATTAAAAACGCCTACATACCAAAGCTACATAGATACATACATACACACCTGCATACCTACATGAGTGCAGCCGTAATTCGGTAGTATTGCAATCGTAATTGGATCTGCCGAATTACGATTCCAATTTAACCGAATTAAAAACGCCTACATACCAAAGCTACATAGATACATATACACACCTACAAGTGCAGCCAGAATTCGGCAGTATTGGCAGCGTAATTGAACATGCCGAATTGCGATTCCAACTAAACCGAATTACACACGGCTACATAGCAACCCTGCATAGATACCTATATTACTACAAACATAGATACATACATAAGCACCTACATACCTACATATGAGCTACAGCTTCGGAGCTCTAGCTTCCTAGGGTTTCTAAGGGGTTTCAAAGCAGTTTCAATGTTTTTTTCCTGTTTGGTTCGAATTAAAAAATGCTGGTAGATGCAAGTTTGAGTTAAAAACGCCTACATACCAAAGCGACATAGATACATATACACACCTACAAGTAAGTGCAGCCGTAATTCGGTAGTATTGGCATCGCAAGTTGCTTTGCCGAATTGCGATTTCAATTCTATCGAATTACACGCGGCTACATAGCAACCCTGCATAGATACCTATATTACTACAAACATAGATACATACATAAGCACCTACATACCTACATATGAGCCACAGCTTCGGAGCTCTAGCTTCCTAGGGTTTCTAAGTGGTTTCAAAGCAGTTTCAATGTTTTTTTCCTGTTTGGTTCGAATTAAAAAATGCTGGTAGATGCAAGTTTGAGTTAAAAACGCCTACATACCAAAGCGACATAGATACATATACACACCTACAAGTAAGTGCAGCCGTAATTCGGTAGTATTGGCATCGCAAGTTGCTTTGCCGAATTGCGATTCCAATTCTATCGAATTACACACGGCTACATAGCAACCCTGCAAGATACCTATATTTCTACAAAACCATAGATACGTATATAAGCACCTACATACCTACATATGAGCCACAGCTCCGGAGCTCTAGCTTCCTAGGGTTTCCAAGTGGTTTCAAAGCAGTTTCAATGTTTTTTTTCCCTGTTTGGTTCGAATTAAAAAATGCTGGTAGATGCAAGTTTGAGTTCAAAACGCCAAAGCTACATAGATATATACATACACACCTACATACCTACATAAGTGCAGCCGTAATTCGGTACTATTGCAATCGTAATTGGTGATCTCCGACCTTCCCCTATCAACCCCCAGCGCCTATCGGATCCATCGTCCAAGCCGCAGACTTGAAGCGTTTCTTGCCGTTGTGACTCCAGATTTCGACCGTGCTGTGGAGAAAGGCGAGCCGGGAATCCTCAAAAATGCTGAGGGCTGGTGAATTTCATGGAGAAAAGCATAGAAAAATAGGCATGTTACATGGGAAAATGGGGAATAGAATGGGAATATGATGGTGCCCAGTCTACTTTCTTACCTAGCCCCAAAAAATACAAAAAATACTTGGGATTTGTATAACCAAATGTCTTTTTCGGAACGGAGAGTTGACATGGTTGATTTATGTATTTTATGTTTGCTCAATTAGTATAATCATATAGTTCTGGTTGGTGGTATACCTACCCCTCTAAAAAATATGAAAGTCAGTTGGGGTTACTATTCCCAATATAATCAAAATATGGAAAGTCATAAAAATTCCATGGTTCCAAACCACCAACCAGAGTTTATACGTGGGTTTTGCCTGGGGTATTGCCTGGGTACATCCACATCATGGGGGCACCTCATGGGGCCAGACATCGGAATCCAAAAAGGACACCGAGGACACCGGAGTTCCACTATTCGTGCGGCATCTTTTTAAAAAAAAAACTGGGAGGTGTGCCTTTTTAAAGAATCAGAAGGGACACAATGATTGATTATGATAGAAAGTTGATAATTGATAATTGATCAGATTCATCTAAGAATGACAGATAATTGATAATGATAAATAACGCAAATAAGAATCATCAAACCAGGATTGCAAACCTAGGTTCGACAGAGCCTCAGACATCCGCATCTAGGACAAGAGAGATCAGAGGAGGGGTGCTTAACCACGCTCACTGTGTGGAGGTCACATGGCTGCTATTAGAGGTGTTCACCGGCTAGAAACAAATCAATGGATTCTGCTTGTCGGGGCCGGATTCGGTCCGGATTCGCTGCAAGAGATCTGTTTGAACTTACTTTCTACCTACTTTCTGCTTGACATCGCCTACATTGCTGCCCGTTTTCTGCTCAAGAATCTAGGACAAGAGAGATCAGAGGAGGGGTGCTTAACCACGCTCACTGTGTGGAGGTCACATGGCTGCTATTAGAGGTGTTCACCGGCTAGAAACAAATCAATGGATTCTGCTTGTCGGGGCCGG